TCTGTCTCTATCCTAATAGAAAGGGAGTGGGCAAGAAACCAAGAGGAGAAGTACCATCCCGGTAAACAAGCAATGTCACCCTAAGGAGACTTTTCCTTTAAGACAGGGCAGCAGACCAGTACCGGTCTGTGGCCTGTTAGGAACTGGCCGCACAGCAGGAGGTGAGCGGCGGGCAAGCGAGGGAAGCTTCATCTGCCGCTTCACATTGCTTCGCATCACTCACATTACTGCCTGAACCATCCCCCCCTCCACCTATGTCCATGGAAAAATTGTTTTCCATGAAACCAGTCCCTGGTGCCAAAAAGGTTGGGGACCGCTGCTTTAAGACATCGTAGGTAATAACGACTATAACGCCCACATTCACCCCTGTAACTTTAACCCTAGGTAGATGCTTAATAAGGTTAGTTTCTTTTCCCTCTTGGGACGATAATTTTTAAATAACCATACCACAGAATAATTATATTTTACTTTTATTCATTTATTTATTCTTTTGCGGTATGCGGGCCTCTCACTGTTGTGGCCTCTCCCGTTGCGGAGCACAGGCTCCGGACGCGCAGGCTCAGCGACCATGGCTCACTGGCCCAGCCGCTCCGCGGCATATAGGGATCTTCCCCGACCAGGGCACGAACCCGTGTCCCCTGCATTGGCAGGCGAACTCTCAACCACTGCGCCACCAGGGAAGCCCTTTATTTTGTTAATTAGGAACTTAAGATCAGAATTAAGTTCCCTTTCATTACTTTGAAAATAAGCGGCCCAGCTGGCGGCCTCACAACGATTCAATAAGGGTCATAAATATTTCGTCGGCTCAACTAATTGTGGCAACTTTCATTTTCTCCCAGGTAACCTTCGTTTCCTTTCATGAACTTCAAGAACTTCCTGTGGGACAAAGATGATGAGAGCAAGTGTGATGACTAAGAATTTCATCATTTGCAGAATTTGTGTTAAATGAATATTTTGATGTGTCTTTATGGTCAGCTGTACCAAATATGAGTTCATTGAGAACAGGTCGAGCCTACAGACAACTGAAGAAAATGATCTGTGCCTTTGTGCAGTTTGCAATCTAGTTTGAGGATATAAAGCATAAAGCCCATAATGTAACATGTGACCCCAAATAAATAGATACCATTTATTGAGTAACTATGGGAGACACACACAATTTAATTCTCCCAAAAACCTGGGAGAGGTTAGCATTAAACGTTTTTCTTCACCTTTTAACTTATGAGAAAACTGAGTTTTAGAGAAATTGACTCCCCCAAGGTCATCCAGCTATAAAGTGGTGGGGTCAGGTTTTGAACCCAGGCAGAGAGGTCCCAGGACAAAAGCAGCTTTAGCTAACATTGTAGTAAGTTTTAAGGACTGAGAGATTTATATTTAACTTTACTGAGACCTTGGCCAAATTATTTTCTTTATACGGTCCTCATTTGCCTTATCGCAAACCAGCTCCTTCATTTGGGTTGTTGTGGAGTGAACGAACAGGTGCAGGCCGAGCACTTAAGCATGTTCCTAATGCATAATGACGGCTCCGTGTGGTCAACAAGTGAGTTGAAAGTAAACTGACGGGCTTCCCTGGTGGCGTAGTGGTTGAGAGTCCGCCTGCTGATGCAAGGGACACGGATTTGTGCCCCGGTCCGGGAAGATCCCACATGCCGCTCTGCGGCTGGGCCCGTGAGCCATGGCCGCTGAGCCTGCGCGTCCGGAGCCTGTGTTCCGCAGTCGGAGAGGCCACAAGAGTGAGAGGCCCAAAAAAAAAAAAAAAAAAAAAAAAAGAAAGTAAATTGACATCACCCATAACTCTCAGAGGGACTCAGGTCCCTCGAACCCCAGAATCTGCGCTGACTACAGCCATCACACTTTTATGCAAACCAACAAACCCCTGAAATCCGAAGGGAATTCAAAAATTGCCTCAACAAGCCCACTGCTGGTAAATAGATTCACCTGCCCACTCTCTTTTCCTAATTCGATCCAACTTCCCAGGGATTTCTTAGTTTTTGGCACGTGAGAGGTGTGACTCAGCACCTGATGGGCGCACGGGGCTTGAAATTAGAGAAAGGAGAAGGGAAGCCTTTCAAGGGGAGGACTTTTCCTCGGGTCAGGCGGTCACATGCCCAGTCTCCCTATAGGGGACGTCGGTGACAGACAAGACGGTGTGCATTCCCCCTCCTCCCCAATCCCTGCCACTTCGGTCATCGCGATGAGCAAGGCCGTCAACAGGGGCGGGAGGTGGTTAAAAATGTCACACAAGCGGGTTTCTTAGCATGCGTCTGGTCTGTCCCCAGCTCGTCAGTCCTCCCCCTCCCCCTCCCCCGTCCCCTGGGCCCCGGTCGGGGGGCGGGCAGGCGGCGGGGAGCGGGGCCGGGGCGGAGCCCCCAGGGCGCGGGGCGGGCCGATCGCGGCTGCAGGTGTCCGCAGGCCTTAAGGGCGCGGCGTGCGCGCTCGGCCGAGCACCCGCCGCCGCACAGCAAGCCCCGCGTTCCCGCCGCCCC